TTAGTTTTACTTCTTGTCATCATCCCCGATGGGGGGATCTCTCTCTTTGATTTGGAGAATTTGGGGAGAGGGATAGGGACTTGAGAACAGAATCTAAGGTCCATATCCAAAGGGACCAGATTGCCATTGATGAAAGGTTTTGCACCTTCTTCCCCCTCAGAGTGACAGTGGATGGGGGTTTCAACTTCTTCCTGAGCATCCTTTTCATGGCCTTCCAATCCACAGACCATATTGGGGTGAATCCAACAATCATCCTTGCTACCTGGGATAGTAACCATACTAACCAAGGGTTTTTCATCGTCAAACTGGTGGTTCGAAAGGGGAACGAAGGGAACAATATCCATGCAGCCAATGATGTTATCCACTTTTAGGTATGAGAGGTCAGGGAAAGGGCTATCTTCCACCACCTCTATAGGGGAAAAAGATTCCAAATCCGAGGCATGAGGTTGAATAATGGAGGATAGGATCAAAGGCTCTTCTTCTTGGATCTCCTCAATTGTAGGCATTAGAGATTCCCAATCTTCTGTCAGAGGTGTGGTAATAGGGCCTGCCATTATTTGCTCTGACTGTGGGGCAACCTTCTTACTCAGCTTGGAGTAACCCGTTTGTTTCCAAGAGGAAAAATTATTGCTATGGGGAGTGGGCTTGTCGGGAAAAGCATAAACTTTAGAGTTTGACTGGCCCACACTATTCTGATTTGCTATGTGTTTTTGGCTTCTCCCCTTTACCCATATCCATCCCTCATCTGTACTACGCCCTCGTGAGACTTCTCCTGCCGGTCCCACTTCACTAGGCGGAGCAGCGACAGTGAGGTTTTCCGGCCCTTTAATCCGGCAATCTTTTGGTGCATGTCCAAATCTAGAACAAGATGAGCAATATGGTGTGTGGTTTTCGTATGAACAAGGAAGCCAAAGATCCTTAGCACCTAAACGAACATGGATTTTAGGGGCCTTGGAGATAGAAACATCCATTTCAACACAGAACCTTGTACGATCAGGGAAAACTCCAATTACCGAGTTCGAGTCCAGCTTTAAGGGTTTTCCCAGGGAGGAAGCAATAGCATATAGAACATTATGATCGTGAAGATGAAGTGGGAGCTTGCTTACCTCAACCCAGAGTGGAATAATTGGACAATCTTTTGAGGAGGAGTGCTCAGGGGTCCACTTGGTGAGGTTGATAAGGTTTCCCTTAATGGTCCAGCGTCTCCGGTGAAACCAACGTAAATAATCTTCCTCATGCTTGAAGATGAAAATAATCTCCTTGGGTGACAAGCGTCGAAGTTTGAACTCCTTATAACCACCTTTAATAAGGAAGTCTTCAGCTTCCCTAATGGAAATATGCTTAGAACCTCTTCCCACCACGGTAAACTGAAAGTTTCCAGCGAGCTTGCACTCTTCCTCCGCTGAGAAAATAACTAATGGGGCGCCCTTGTAGAAACCACCACTTTGCCCAGGGATGTTGGAGAAATTTCCCTTGAGAAGGTCTGAGAAAAGGATTTTTCTCGGCACCTTGGTGTGTGTGATAAGTTTTTCTGGCGGGTTTCCGGTGGCCGAAAACCTAGAGAGAGAAGGGGCCGCCATTGATATATTTTATATATATATATATATATATATATATATATATATATATATATATAGAAAGGGGTTTCTAGAGAGAAGGGGGAGATACCACCGGCGGTGCACCTTTGACAACGCCGATCATTTCAGAGACGTGGGTTTCCAGAAATCGCTTAATCCAAATTGGGGTTTCCAGGGTAGAAGAAGACAACCGCCGGTGAGGAGAGATGAATCCAAGAATTTCAGAACAACATGGCGATCCAGATCATATCGTTACCAAGGGCCATTTAACAGCGATTCAGAAGTTTCAATTTCGATTGAAAGCAAGGTATTCAAATTCCATATTGCCGACAACCTTATAATTTCCGAATTCAAGAATGGTATGTCTAGATCTCTCTCTATCTCGCGTTCATTCGCTCTTTGGCTTTTAGAATCCCTAAGCCACCCACCTTTGGCTAGAGAGGGTTGGGTGATTTCAAAATTTGAAGGGAGTGCAACTGCAAAATCTCACTGGGATTCAAACCAGTTTGGATGTTTCGTTAGATTCAGTGCATGAATTGATAGGGAGATGTCTACTATCTGCATACCAGTTGGAAGAAATTCAGAAGGCATTAGGCTTTTTGTAAAAGGATTGAATGAAGTTTTAAAATTTCAAGAAGGAAATGTCTCGGCAAAAAAGGAACTTTTATCTCCATGGAAAGCAGAAACTTCAGTTCCTATAGATTTCACAGACCAGATACTTCAGGTGGAGAGGGTAGGGGAAGAACATTTGAGCTATCTGTCCATCTCCTCAAGTCTTCTACAACAAGATGTTACGCAGGGTGCAATGATGACTAGCCTCTCAGAACATGAGTTGAATGAGGGGTCAGAAGAGACTAAGGAAGCTGAAGATGAAGAAAAGAAGTTATCTCAACCAGCTTTCGATGCCTACTTCGAAACAATCTTCAAGGCAGTGGAAAAACAGGTTCAAGAGGGCTTGGCTAGGACATCGTTACTAGATAAACTGAAAATGGGGCTTTTCCAAAACATGGCGGGTAAAACTCTTCGAGCAACACGGGAGACGGTGAAAATCATGGAAAAGGTGACCCTTGTTCAATTTGAAGATTCTAAATACCCAGCGTTCATTTCTTGTTCCAGAGCTGATGAAAGCCTTGTGGCGGAGTTTCTAACAGGGGAGCAGAATGAAGAGTCACAAGCTAAACTTGGTTAACGTTTAATCTTATTTCTTTAATGCTTCCAGGAAAACAAAACAAGATGTCCTTGGTAATTGATTTAGTTTCAGGTTTTGCTTGCTGTATTTAGTATCTCAAGGGAGGGCCATATGAAGCCGGTTAATCATGCTCCATTCCAGGGGCTTAGAGAAATGGGTTTTTAAGGTTTCATTGGAGATTAGGCCTTTACTTAGAGTCTGCCTAAGGGTTATGGTTCAAAGACTGGGTTTTAGGGTTGGAGCAGCATGGTTCTTCATCTGTACTAGCAGGGCTCTACATAGACAGCTTTGTTTTCAAAATTTTATACTTTTATCCTTGTTAGGATGAAATGGATGCATAATGGACGGTAAACCTGATTGTGATCATTGGGTAAGGAGACCCAGCAATGGATGCAGTTGGGATATTGATATGGATGCAGTAGGTCCTGCGTTAACTTATCCAGCTCCTCTTTTATTTTAGTTTTTTGTCAGCTGCTCCGTTTTATTTTAGTTGCTTGGCAGCTTCTTATTGTACTCTTTGTGTTGGATTGGTTTCCCATTTGGCCTGTTGTCGGGTTGGCCCCCCATGTACCTTTCACTTCTATTAATAAAATTTTCTTTAATATATATATATATATATATATATATATATATATATATATATATATATATATATATATTTGTTGCACAATGTCATGGTACTGCCCCTACCAAGTCTTTATATATATATATATATATATATATATATATATATATATATATATATATATATATATATCAAAAAAGAAGTCCAAAAAGCTAAATTCCAAGAGTCTTGCTTAATGCTTGATTCCTGTCCATGATGTAGTGATAGTACATAAAACGTGTCCAAGATGGCCCAACTCTGCTCAAAATGAAAATGGATGTTGTCTCCTAAATGTAGCCAAAACGGACCTTGACACAAGCCATCTCAAAGAATAGTGAGATTCAAAATTCAGAAGCCGTCCAACCCAGTGATTGAGAACAGCAGTTCCCAGTAGTAGGACCAACAGCCAAGCAGGAGATACATCCAAGAGAGTAATGTTATCTAGCTAAAAACCAACCAAAAGAGATCAAACCATACTTGAAATACCAAAATGCATTAATGCAGCGGGACCCGTCATCAGAAGAGGAGAAACTCTGAATACCCAATCCACCTATTACGGAGTTCCAGCGACCTAAGTGTATTTGAAGATGAGCTTTAGGTAAGCATGCTCTAATTAAAATGATCCAACCACTGTGTGAGCTGAGTGACACCCGATGAAAACCAAATAATACCAAAAAATATGCAGCTAAGGAAGCAAACGATGATAGGAACCAACTGTTTAGTACTCCTGTAAAAATTCCCCGCAGCAAGAGTGTATAACTCTAGAGTCATCATTTGCGTAGATTAAGTAGACCGGGAATTTAGTACCTTTAATCTTAACTGAGTCTACCGCCTCAATGCTTTTTGCTAATTGCCTTGTCATTCTGAAGGCCTTGCCCTTTCCATTTTTCAGAATTCCCTTTTGCAACTTGTCACGCACCATGGAGATGGTCATAGCCTCTTTAAGATAACAATAAGATTCCTTGAACAAGGACTCAAAGTGGTCAGAGAATAGGGGCTCCAAAAGTTTGAACTCTTCATCAAAATCTCCTTTACAATATATATCCAAGTTGTATTCTTTGCTGCAGAAATCAGAGATATCCATTTGGACAAGAAGCCCTGGTACTGATATGTTTGAATTCTGCATTTCTGTCTTGCCCAAAATTTCATCTAACAAGGGGTCTTGCCATTTTGGTAAATCAGTGCCGGAGACTTCCTCTGATCCAACCGATGTAATGAGCAAGGGACCTGTTGGAACTAGAGAATAAATAACACTGTGAAGCAGTGTTTATACAAAGAACTCGATAGTAAAACGAATCGCGTACGAAACGCTTTCAGATCAAAGTTATTTCGGGGCATACGAAATACTTCAATCGGATAAGACGTTAATCAAGAACAAGCACTCAAAATCGGTCCCTCAACCCATACCACGAGACTCTGTTTTATAGAGTCTAAAATTTTTGTGATCGGACATGAACGTTCGCGTAGATGTACGCATACGTTCGCGCGAGGAAGAGGAAGGTGCGAGTTTGAACGAAAGGTCTCTTGCGGTTTAAGGCTTAATTTCGACGTTTATCCATTGTTCGAGTCCTTTAATGATTTGAACGCCCCTTGGACCCCGCTAACCGGGGGCTGCCGCCCCCGGACCCCGCTATGAATTTATAATATCGTTGAACGAGCGCGCACTCCGCGCCTCCTGACTCGTTTGACAATGTCTATTTAGATTCTTGTCCGATCGAAGTAAATCCAATTACACAAAATAAACCGATGACACTAAAATCACCAACAGGACCATCTCTCAATTGAGGTTGTGAGCTAGACACCTTCCTCTCTTCTCCTAGAACCGTATCTGGTGGAGGGGGTATTTGACCAACTTGTGCATTTCTATTGTTAAGGGAATAATAGAGTCCCTTGATGAACAGCTTCAGAGAGTTCTTTCTAGCTCCTAAAGGTACGCAAATGGTGGATCTAGCTCCTTCAAAAACTGCTAAAATTTGCACAAAATCCCCATAATAATTTGAGCTCCAATTGATAGAAACTGAATTTGTCCCTTCGAATCTAGTACAAGCCCACTCAGATGAGATGAAAATATAACTCTCCAGGGATTCAATTAACCATAAGGCCAAAGTGGTTGAAATGGAGATGGTGCGAATGTAACCATTCTTGAGCTCAGAGATGTTGAGGGAGCCTGAGATATGAAAGTCATACCTTTTACTTTCAATAAAGATGGAGTGCTTGCCATGAGGTTTGGAGAATGGACCTGCGTAAGGGAGGAGTTGATTCACGCCTTTGTCTTTCTGCTTGAAAAACGAGGGTAAGCGCTCTCTAAAATTCCGCAACTGAAAGGACGCCTCCTCATCGCCTATGAATCGCCGTTGAGATGGACGCCAGCCTTTGAATCGGAGGAAATCCCTTCTATGATTTCCGGTTCTGAATTTGTCGCGGTGGGGACAGAGAGCAGCTTTGTGTGCAGGGTAATTGACGTGATAAGCCCAGTTCCTTGCTCGGGAGTTATCATCGCCAGAGAAGAATCGATACCCTTGGTGAAAGCGCCGATGATGAAATCCGATACCCTGAGATCTACCTTTCTCCCTCTCTCTACCGCCCTGCATCTTTTTCTCCATGTATATATGTAGTGGGGGTAATCTCATTCTTAAGCTTGATATGGCTAAAGCTTTTGATAAATTGAAATGGTCTTATTTGTTTGATGTTCTGCATCATTTTGGCTTTTGTACTCGGTTTATTAACATGGTGGATAACTTGTTTAGCTCTTCAAAATATTCTGTCCTTCTTAATGGTAAACAATGTGGTTACTTTGGCCAATCCAGAGGCATCAAGCAGGGTGATCTTCTATGTCCTCTTTTATTTATTATTGCTAATGAAGGCTTCTCTAGGAACCTCAAGAATCTTTTCTCTCAAGGCAAGATTGATGTGTTCAACTGTGGCACCAAAATCATTCCAATTACTCATCTCTCATATGCTGATGATATTATTATTTTCTCCTCGGGCCATGCTAGATCTATTTTGAATCTAATGAAGTTCCTTGAATATTACCAACTTGTTTCTGGTCAGACTATCAACTATCACAAAAGCAGCTTTGTAGTTGGTAAGAAAGCCAATCAAAGCCTGATCTCCAGACTGCAGCAAGTCTTGAACATGCCTTTTAAACCTTTACCTTTCACTTATCTTGGAGTTCCAATTGATCTGGGCATCACTAGAAGTATTCATTGCACTCATATTATCCACTCTTTTGATAAAAAGCTTAATGGTTGGTTCCAAAGGAACCTAGACCAAGTAGGCAGATTGATTCTTATTAATCACGTCCTCAACACCATCCCTAACTATTTTCTTTCGGCCTCTACACTACCAAAATCTAATCAACAAATCTTGGAGCAAAAAATGGCTCAGTTTTGGTGGGGTGGTAATAACAAGAAGCATCATTGGATTCGGTGGAAGAAGCTTTGTCGCCCAAAGGAAGAAGGTGGCCTTGGAATCAGAGACCTCAAGGCACTTGAACTAGCATTCTCTTGCAAGCTTTGGTGGAAGGTGACTCAAACAGACTGCCTTTGGACTAAATTCATGAGGACTAAATACTGGAGAAAAGGTGATATGGTGTCCCATCTTATTGACTCTCCCGTTTGGAAGAGGATATCTCGGATTGCTGAAAAGGCTCATAATCTTTGCTACCACAATGATGATGGCAGCTTCTCCTGGGCTGATGATCCACAAGGGCTTTTCTCCTTAAAATCTGCATATGAATATTGCAGGATTCCTTCCAATGCTGCTGCGTCATTCAAGTTTATTTGGGAAACCCCTCAGATCCCCAAAGTCAGCATCTTTATGTGGAAACTTCTTCATGGATGTTTGCCTACCCCTGATAATCTGCAGAAACTTGGCTTTCAATTACCTTCTATATGTTCTTTTTGTAGATCTTCTTCTTTAACAATGTTACACTCACTAATTAACTACCCGGCAGTGGGAGTTACTTGGAGACATTTCTCTTCAAGCCTCGGTTTTCATCACCTTCGAGCTTCCTCAGTGAATCAGCATTTTATGAACTGGTGGTTGCGAGGAACTAACAATATTCATGGTTTCCTTAGAAAGCATGTACCCTCTATGATCTGTTGGCACATAATGGAAACATCTCAATGCCATTATCCATGGTGAAATCTCGGCTATCAACACTTATTTTCTTATACGCACTATTTCCCTTTATGTCAAGCAATGGGTAGCCATTAAAACTCCAAAAAAATTCAGAGTTTATGATGATTGGCTTACTAGGATGCAGCTCCTCCCCACATTCAAAAAAGAGGTAAAGGTTGGCATTGTTAAATGGACAGCTCCTCCTAAAGGTAGATTAAAGCTAAATGTGGATGCTTCCTACACTCCAACATGCCAAAGAGGTGCTGGAATTCTTCGTGATGAACAAGGATCTTTCATTGGGGCAGCCTCCTTTAGACTCTCATGCAACTCTTCTTTCCAAGCGGAAGTCCAAGCTGCTATTGATGCGTTAACATGGGCTCTGTTAATCCATAAGAAAATTATCTTGGAGATGGATGCACTTGAAGTGATTAGGAGGATCTCTAACTTCACCCACCTTGTTGCCTCCCCATTTCCCATTGGCATTCTTTCGCGGCTGGTTTTTGATAATGGGATTGAGGTTTCGCACGTTCTTCGGGAATGAAATCGGCCAGCTGATACTTTAGCTAAAGAGGACAGGATCAAGCAAGATATTATTGTTTATTACACTTCTTTTAATTCTTGTCATGTTAATGTTAGAGCTGCTCTTGTTCAAGAGATTGTCCCTTCTTTCCACTTTTATATATATACTCCCTCCGTCCATTTTTAATGTTCGTACTTTTCTTTTTCGTCCGTCCATAAATAAAGTTCATGTTTCCTTATTTAGTAAAAAAGTTTAAGTTAAATGTCATATTTACCCTTCAACTCAAACCTTATCTCTCCACCAAACCTTCCTCCACCGTCTCCTGCATCTCACCCCCAGCCTTTGTCATCTTCGCCAATCTCACCACCAACTTTTCTTCTTCTTCTTATTTCTTCTTCTTCTTCTTCTTTCTTCTTCTTCTTTCTTTTTCTTCTTTTTCCTCTTCTTCTTCTTCTTCATGTACACTCGCCATATTCCTCCCTTTTTTAGAGCTGTTTGAAATTCCGTTCATCATCTTCCTCTCTTTTTTAGATCTATTTGAAAATTTTGCTCGTCATCTTCTACCCTTTTTTAGATCTATGAAACTTTCATTTTTCAGATTTATTTGAAATTTTGTGAAATCGCAGCGACCCGAGGTGAGGCGGCGTTCAGAGGTATTCCGTCAATTTCTGCAAAATCTATTCCTCCTGGCTGCTTTGTTTTACCCCTCCGGTGGAGGCTTTAATTTGGTCTGTGGTTTGTCAAAAAAAAGGACGACAGAGGAGAGGAGCGATGTACAAGAGAGAAGGGAGGGTATTTTAGTAAAGTCAATGGCATTTATACTTTTTCAGTTCCTTCCAGTTCTTTCCAGTTTCTTCCAGTTCTTCCAGTTTCTTCCAGTTCTTCCAGTTTTTTCCAGTTTTTTCCAGTTTCTTCCAGTTTTTTTCCAGTTTTTTCCAGTTCTTTCCAGTTTCTTCCAGTTTTTCTTGTTTTTTCCAGTTTCTTCTAATTTCTTCCAACTATATTTATTTTTTTCAAATTCTTTCTACTTTCTAACAAATCACTCTAAAAAAAATATATTATTATTATTATTATTATTATTATTATTATTATTATTATTGTTCTTATTATTATTATTATTATTATTATTATTATTATTATTCTTACAGTTTTTTTAATTACAACTTTTATGTTGATAACTATAGTTTATAAATTATTTCATTTTGTCATCTCACTATTTTTATGATTCATATTCATTATTTTTTTATTCAACTTTTTAATATGAATAGTACCATTTTTTGTATATTAATCTACAAGAAAAAAAAGGAAACTATTTAAAAAATTATGGTTAAATAGTTATATACACCCTCCGTCCCTAAATATTCACAACATTTGCTTTTTCAACAGTCGCGGAAACTTTTGTTTATTTCAATGTTTTCATTGATTATTTGATAAAATAAAATATTCTTGACACCTCTTATTTCGAAGAACTTTTCATGTAGTTTTTTAATATGTAAATTTTATTTTTTATTTCTATACCAATATGTAAATAAAATGAATTGAAAAAATTTAATATTTTGCCTCGGGAATACAAATGTGGCAAATAATTTGGGACGAAGGGAGTAGAATATTTTTTAATCTAAATTTATATAAGGTAAACATCAATATTTTAATCTAAAATATAGTACCTTCAATTAAGTTTAACTACATTGTAGAATATTAAGTGCTAGTTCATCTCTAAACTGTTTCACTGCATCTTTAGTTTGTTCATCAAACAGCATCACCTTGGGCCTATCTTGAGTTGTTTGCTGCCTCAGTGAAATTGGTATTCCCTTTCGAAAATAGAAGCGGAGAAAAAGACTCATTGAGTTGGTCTTTATTACTCAATTCTTCCTCATTTTTATTTATTTCAAAAATTAGTTTTGTTTTTTATTTTTCTAATTTTTATAAATTAATTAAAAGTCAAACTACTTTAGAAAAAATGACTAATGTAAGAGTATAACATAAAAAATCTAAAAAAACAGTTCTATGTTTTTATTCAAAAAGTAGGGTTACAATGGAAATAAATTGTCAATCCTTAAAGAAAAAAAATAGGTTTGATTACATTATGTGACATGTCAGATATTTTAAACATAATCTTGTAATAGATAAGATATAATTACAAATATATTTTTTTATAATAAATACATATAGCCATAATAACTCTTAACTATTTAACATTATGCTAATTTTATAATCTAATTATTTTTAAAACTATCTTTTTATGTATGAAAATAATATTCGTAATATTTTTTTTTATTTTAAAGACAATCATTTAGTTTACGTAATAACACCACCACTACCACCACCACCACTAACAACAACAACAACAACAATAATAATAATAATAATTATTATTATTATTATTATTATTGTTATTATTATTATTATTATTATTATTATTATAGCAATAATAATAATTTATGTCAACAAGAATCAGAATGAGAATAATTTAAAACCACACATAAAAATTTTTTAAAAACTTTTTTTAGATTTTACAATTTATTCTAGTTTTTTCAGTTTCTTTTAATTTTTTCCAGTTTTTCCAGTTCCTTCCCGTTTCTTCCAGTTCCTTCCAGTTTCTTCCAGTTTCTTCCAGTCCTTCCAGTTCCTTCTAGTTTCTTCCAGTTTCTTCCAGTTCCTTCCAGTTTCTTCCAGTTCCTTCCAGTTTCTTCTAGTTTTTTCCAGTTTCTTCCAGTTTCCAGCTCTTTTTTTCCAGTCCTTAAGAACAGCCCCTAAACATATGGTGCACATACAATTTGAGGTATAAATTACTCACAACAGATAGATCGTGCGAGGAATAAACTCGGAAGGAAAATGAAACCTACCATTAGAAATTATATCATCCTCCTCTTCCTCTTCCAATTCTACCTCATTGTGATCCATTATTACCCTTGGCTCAGCCCGGCTATGGCGATCTCAGAGCGCGCACGACCATCACGATGCAACGGCTCAATAGCCGAGTGCAACATCGTGGACACGGAGTTACTATTGGAGTCGGAAGTTAGCCGGAGATTTCTCGAGGAAATGAAACACATCACGCCCGGTGCACTGAAACGCGACGAGCCTGTGTGCTACAGTGGCGGCCCCGGTAAGCCTTATACACGAAGCTGTGTTCCCGAACCTTCTCACCATTATTACGATAGAGGGTGTTCAAGTTACTACCGTTGTAGAGATGCTCAATAACTCTGTTTTCTTGTTTCTTATTATCCACGCTGATAAATTCCCGGATCTGTTATGGTTTTTCCTTTTTATTTAAGTGTATTTGTGTGTTTCTTTCTAGATCCGTTCAGATCTTGCCTGGAATACTTGTTTCTTCTAAATAAAGTTGATGTTTTTTGTGTGTACCAAAATATTGTTCTTGTTTCACTTAAATTAAGAATTTTTGTGATATTCATGTGTGTTCTAAATAATAAACAGACAAATGCTATTTTTGTAGGGTGATTTCCCAAATGGTGAAGATGCTGAAAATTTCTTCCCAAATGGTGAAAAATGTGTCTGACATAACGGAGAGATAGAATGTTAACGGTAGAGACTCTACCTTTAACCTTCAAGTTATTTATAAATACTACTCTCTCCGTCCGCCTAAGATGTTCTCATTTTGACTTTTGGTGGTTTTTAAGGAAAGTTGAAAAAAGGTGAAAGTTTACCATAATACCCTTAATGAAATATGGGTGGAGTGTATTAAATGAGGTGGGTGAGGTGTAATAAATAAAGTAAGTGGGGGTTGTTGTGGTATTTTACTTGTTAAAAAATGAAATGAGAAGATCTATTGTGGACAAAGAAAAAGGGCTATTGGGAAGATATATGGTGGACAGAGGGAGTAGTATTTAACCCGTGCAACACACGGGGTCGAACGCATGTTATTTTTAACTCTGTTAAATGTTTGTTTTAAGTACATAATTAAAAAATGAAGCTAAATATAATATACAATGTTATAATTTTAATGAATGATACAACACAAACAGAGTATGCTAACTAAATTTAATGCGAAATAAAATTGGAAACGAACATATAAATGTAATAATTAAATCCAATTTTTTTGAAAAACTTCAGGGTAAACCACATTTTTTGTGCAATTGCAAGGCTTACCGATGTCATCTAAAACTAACACTTTCAATCCTTTCTTAGTTTTCACTCGTGAAACTGCAACATGAAGTTGACCGTGAGTGAAAATCGATTTGGTCAAGAATAATCCAACAAATGACAATGTTTTGCCTTGACTCTTATTGATTGTCATGCCAAAACATAAAGATATTGGAAATTGTCTTCTTTGAAATTTAAACAGCAATCCAAGATCTGGCGGTACCAAATTCACTCTTGGTATGTAAACTTTCTCACCCGCATTGTTTCTTGATACAACAATTGCACCAATAACGTTTTTTCGCAACTCTTCAACTATTAATCTTGTACCATTACACAACACAGATGTTTGATCAATGTTTCTTAATAACATAAATGGTACTCCTTTGTTCAAAACAATTCTGTGGTTTGGAACCCCAGAACACTTGATATCGTTCAAAAACTCAGTCGTTATCTAATCACCATCTATTCCTATATCTAAATCTACTTGACATGAAGTATTAGAGCTCAAGTACTCCTTTTCATCTCCAGGAATTAGAGACAAAACAAAATCATTGATCATTTCAACAACTTCAAGCATTGTGCTAATAAAGCTCTATCAATAAAAAAGGTATAAAAAAATCATTGATCATTTTTCTTTTTTCTCTCATAATTGATAAACTTTGACCTCAAATTAGATAGCTTGGCAATACTTATTGTTAGATACATGATTTTATTAGATTTATTACATCAAATATTTTCAAAATATTAATTATCTTATTAGTATACAATATATATATATATATATATATATATATATATATATATATATATATATATATATATATTAACTATACGTGAAAGATTGAAAATGATTGACTGGAAAAAGTCAATATTCAAGAAATATTCATGGACGAAGGTAGTATTAATTCAAACATTCCACAGATTGCCCAAAAAGCAATCCAAGTTTACTTATTTTTGTAATTTAGGTAGCGTAATATATTACCTTTTTGAAGTTATTTTTTATAGTCTCTTCAACTACGTATGTGCAGAAAATTTTTTAAAATCTTTCATCTTGAAAAACAAACATAAGACTCACATAAATTATTTTGCAATGTAAACCGTTTCTTTAGCCTTACACATTTACATATTCGTAACACAATTCATGTTATTAAAAGTAAATTGATATATTTGAAAAGAAGAAGATAGAAAATTAAAATGAAAGAAATTGTGTTTGAGTATTATCTTCAGTGTCTATTGGGGATCCCCCATTTTCACCCAATAAGTGATTCTTAGAGTAATCATTTGACTTCTTTCAATGTCTTGAATAAACACTTGCAGCCGAAAAAGACACTAATGATGTTTCTTTGCTAAGAATACTGAATATATTAAATTTCTTAAAGTAAACAATACTTTGATGCTTACTCATAATAGAGCTTTATTTGTTTAAAACAATCCAAAATCATAAACCAAATAAACTGCTGAACACAATAATTAAATCAAAACCAAATAAACCAACAATCTTAGAATTGAAACCATAAAACTAAAAATCTAATCTTAGTCTTTCTCTATTTTAATACTCTTCATCTTCTTGCCTGACTCATCCCTATCCACATCATAATGTTCCAGCTCTTTCGTTCTTTTGTTGATATTAGAATCAGTGATAACATCTACACTGTGTTTCAACTCATTATCTTTAGACTCTCCAAAATCTTCTATCAAATTCTGCAAAACAAACAGCAAAAAAACCAAGAGAACTTGAATTAATAACTATTGCTGCTTCATTTGGATTCCCAACTGTGTTTGAAATTACTGCATTACATATAAAGGATTTCCCTTCAAAGCATTGACATATCCCCCTGCTGAATAATGCCATGCTCAACTTTGATGGGTAAAGCACATGTTAATGTTTCTATTTTAATTTTTAATGTATTAGAGATCAGCTCATTATCCATGTGATTTTTGTACTTCTAGCCTCACAAAATGTCCAGAGATCAGCACATGTTAAGGTGACTTGCATATCTTTTTAATTTGTAATGCATTAGAGATCAGGACATGTTAAGTACCTGTATTTATCTAGCTGCATTAAGGTGTACTGTATTAAGGTGAATATGCAGGTACTTACCATGTATTTATCTTTTGAACAGTGGTAAGTACCTTAACAGCAATGATGATTTCAGGTACTGTACTTACCATGTATTAAGGTGAATATGCAGGTACTTACCATGTATTTACCTTAACATGTATTGTATTAAGGTGAATATGCAGGTACTAACCATGTATTAAGATGAATATGCAGGTACTTACCATGTATTTATCTCTTGAACATCCAAAGATAAGACATCAATCTTGCATTGGGCGGGATAAAAAAACAGCAATGTTGATTTCTGGGTTAATTATATTTAATTAGGTCATTAAGAATGCTAACCTTTACGCACGACGATGCTTGGCCGACAGTGAAGGTATGTTGCGATGATTTGTCTCCAGTTGAGAGTCCCAAAGTTACATCACCAAGTGAGCGATAAATCAGATTTTTGTTAGAAGGGCTATAAACCATACGTGACTATACTCTAATAAAATACCACTAAATCCAGATTTACGTTGATAATATATGTTATCAAACCTGAACTAAAAATAAAGCAGAATTTGTTTCTTTGAATATGGAGATGGTTTGCTCATTGAAACAAATGTCAATCACATTATACGAAGGATCAAATTCATTGAAGTGTGCACGCCTGACCTCAACTTTGAAAAGAAATGACTTATCTATCAAAAGTGTATTAAAGACATCTTGTTGTACGTCTCCACCAGGCACATCCTGCATGACAAATTTTAATTAATCATCAATCGATGATGCCACTGTAAGATGAAATCACTTATTTGATCAAAGAAAGCACTAAAATACCCGAGGTTTCTATACACTTCAAAAAACTTATTTAGAAATTTAACGTAAAGTCATGAACGTATGAGGCAAGTACTAAGTAGTTGTAGTAAAGATGACATGTGTCATTTTTTTTGCTCCCACAAATATTCCCATGACTTATTATCTAAACTGCCTGGCATTAGGTCAGCATGTCCACACATATAAAATTGCTGGAGATATAAGCATGCCATACTCTCCAGTTCATTTGAAAGATACAAAGTATTATTAAATTAAAATTACATACCTCAAAATACTTCATCATTTCAGCACATGACTTATGGAGAATCAAACATCCTACATTCTCAAATAGTACAAAAGTAGCACTGTCTTATGTGTCAATGACTCTCGTCTTGATTCAATACCTATTTCATAATTAAACTTATGATTTAGTTAAAAGAAAAACTATCAACATATAAAATAATAAGAGTGAAAGTTTATTAAAACATAAACCTTGGGATTAGATTCACCACGCGTTTCATACAGTCAGTGCAATCGTAGGAGCCACTTCGTGGGACCACCTCAGACCCACATCTACATGTTGCTATAAACCAATTAGAATCAACACTCTTGATTGTTCCGTACACTGCATATTCACCGTCCTAAGAAGAAAACATGGTCAATTTACGACATTGTTCATTACTGCCAAGGGCATGCATTCATTGTAATAGAGATAGCTTACCTCGGTACAATCTTTTAATGACTCTATTTTCGTGGCCTTAGTAAATTTAATAAAGTCTTCATCCACAGGATACATCTGTCCATGATTCAAGCAATTTTTTTCCATTTTTTGGAGAAACACCCTCCATAAATCGTGCAAGGACGGTTGCGTCATGACACACCTTTGAGACCCTAAACGATTGCTCGAGACGTCCTCTGAACATAGACTTCACCTCCACTTTAAACGGGAAACTTTTACCCATCAAAAAATCACCAAACTCTTTAGGATTTTCAGTACTTCCATCCTAAATGTTTTGACAAATGAAAGATATTAGCAGTTCAAAGATTAAATAATTAAATTCAGGCGTTATTAAGATGTATTAAATATCTTCCTGTAAAGAGAATACGTACTGCATCAGTCTTTTCCAGCAAGAGGGAGCATGACGTATTTAGAATGGAGCATGCTTCTTGGTCAAACAACACGAACGTATCTACAAAAAAACAGTTTTAGCATTGTGCCTAAGATCACAGAATTGAAAATAGAGGGACAGCAAACATATGATAAACTCAACCTAGGGGTGACATTCATAACACGACACACGCAATGCATGCAATAGTACATCGTACCATCAGCTCTCGCGGCTCTATTACACTTGCAAGCCAAATAGAACCAATCCCCACCACTGTTTGCCGAGTCAACCGTGACGACATACACTACATAGGAACCATCCCATTGGAACAGAAATAATATATTGATTTTTGGAAAAATCATGAGAATAAATTACTCTAAGCCTGAAGGTGTTTGATTCTAAGAGTGTTAGGAATACCTCAATACCATTCTTCAGCGCATATATCATCCTCCTTTGATTTGCATCCAAGAATTCATTCTACTGCGTAATTAAAATATCATCACATGACAACCTTAGAGGTTGACGGTGGGATGTAACGCCAAGAGACCTTCAATCAAGTTTTATATTTGTAATAAGTTAGAGAAATAATCTCGGACATTTAGACATAGTACATGTAATGTAGAAGTTGTTAGGGATCAGATACCACATACCTTTGTCTAAATGCAACCACCTGTTCTATCTATGGATTTAGCAAGAGACGTGTTTCGTACATGACATTTTGTAAAATTATATTCCCTGTAAATTTCCCACATGGTTAGTTTGAAACAAATGAGAGGAAAATGGACTCTGTTATGGAATGCCAAAAAAAGAAAGGTAATAGTATAAAATTTTTTGCAGTACCTTGGAAAGTTTTCACTTTCGCATATTGAATCACAATTATCGCATGTTCCAGTGGCTATTTTTTAAAGAAACTTTTTAACTGGTCAACATATTCCCCAAATAGTGTGATATCCAATGCCATCCTGTATCACAATATTCAAAGAACATAATACATTAAGCACATATTTGTGTAAGAATTATCTATTTGTTAATATAAAGTGTTGATAAAAAATAATACCCTTCTGCTTCCAACTTGATCACAATCATCTTTGTCCTTTTGGACTCCTTTACTATTTCTTTTTGCTTACCCACAGCTACCAGGATCCCCATAGTGTCTGGAAAAAACATTAAATATTAGATGTCAAAAAAACTTGACATGTTACATTAACTTATGGTTCAATGGTTGAAATATTACCAACTAAGTACGTGTAGTCTGATTCTGTTTCCAAAATCTCTGCAAAAGTACTCAACCTAAGGCCATGCTCAGGAATTCTATCACATCGACTTTCGGTAACAGTAGTCCTCGGCTGGAAATTTAGCCTCAACTCATGTGGTGAAGTGTGATAATATCCGCTACTGATGCCTATGCCAAAATATGCAAAGACGTAAACAGATCCTTCCTTCTACGGACTGTAGCATGGATAGTACTCCCCTTCACATTTTTGCAACAAAAACATCAATAAAAGGCAACCAAAAAATGGAGAAAAGGGAATCAGGACAAATGTATGCTCTAGAGAGCTTAATGTTGTGAGTAATATTAATAAGGTCAAGAAATGTAGGTTTAGAGATCTAAAAACCAATAAAACATGAAAACAAATATGGGGAAAGGGAATACAGGACGTGCTTAATAAGGTCCAGATGCTACTTTTTTTAAAAAAATATTTTAAAAAGGTAGATACTTATATATTCAAAGGATAACAATGTTCCTATGAACAGGATATTTAGTGTTCAAAACACCTAATGCAGTAATTCATAAATTTGTCATCTCCAGTTGTTGTTCAAATACATATTTGGAAAAGTAATATGTCTAAAGCAGCTTCCTATATTCAATGTTTTAAACAACATCTCCAGTTGATGTTCAAGAAATATATCTAAAATATAAAATCACATTCTTTGGATTCACATGTGTTTGTTTCTATTTCAAGTATATCAAAAACTTATTCTAGTCTATAAATTAGTTTTTTTCAACAACATAATCCTTTATATATATCAAAGTTGTAGGCTTAAATAGTAAAATGTAATTGTAGAAGCTAATAACACAGTATGTACATAAAGCAATTACAAAACATCAATAAAAGTCGATAATGGAAGCAGGCATATAAAAAAATCTATACACAGGAAGCATTGGATGCAGTAATATGTGATGATTAATTAGGATTGTTTTCACAGAATATATGAGTAAAAGATTTGATTTTTAGAACAAAAACAGTATGAGAAGATTTCCAGATTTTGGCGTTGTAGATCCGCTGTTTTCAATTTTGGAAACAAACCTTATTCTCGAATTGATGCGAAGATTTCCAGATTTTGGCGTTGTAGATTTCTAGAATTGACGCGAAGAATCAGCGGATCTTGACTTTCCCGGTGCAGATTTCCTTTTGACGCGTAGAATCGGCAGATTTTTGGGAAGAAGCTTAGGGCGATGAAGAAATCAGCGCTGCCTGCATAGATAGAACTCGTAGAAGGAAGTGAACACTCGGAAGTCCGAAGGCCTATGCGATTTAGTCGTAGAAGTGGACGCGTGTAAGTTGACGTGTAATTAAAATAGAATTCTAAAATGCCACATGTCAAAATTCTAGGCTATCAACTCTCAAATATTATATTAAAGGATTACTCTGTCCGTCTTATATCTTTTTTCCCATTGCGCAAAACGAAGAAAAATCTCAAGTTTTTTCAATCTATTTTATTTAAATATTGGTATATAATTAAAAAATAAAACATACATATTTAAAAACTACATCAAAAGTTCAACAAAACAAGTGGTGACAAGAATATTTTATTTTATCATATAGGCCATGAAAAAAAACAAATAAATATAAGTTCTCGTGAAGTTAGAATAGTGCTCTGAGAAGAAAGTTTTAGGATGGAGGGAATACATTTAATGCTTCCATTCCTTAGATATACGTATTAACTAGTTTTTACCCCGTGCTTCGCACGGGCTCATATATTTTTCTATAAAATATATCTATAAAATTATTATTATATTAAAATATAAACCTAGATTAAATAAAAAAGTGAATTACAATTAAAATTGTTCTATCGCATTGTCTATTGATAGAATACATAAATAGTATACACGCATGTAAATATGAAGATTAATACATTAGTTATTTGTAAATAACATATATAGACATTTCATTTTTGAAGATATCATGGCATGCATGGAGAGGATGTGTTTATTTATTTCCTCTATGACTCTTATTATTTTACACTTCACTAATTAAATTTATAATTTTGATAGAAAAGTTTATTTAAAATTTTAAAGGAAAAGTTTGAATTTTTAATACGAATTTTAGACAACTTTTTATACACAAAAATCTTACTTTTTATAATCTAAACTTTCATATTATTACACTTATCATGGGAAATGGTGCAAAAATTTATTCAAACAGTTTTCTTTTAAAAAATTCAATAAAGTTTATATAATCTTTAAAAAAGTAATTTATTAATTATAAGATATTAAAATATATTTTGAAATGATGAAGGACATATTAATATAATAATTAGAATATGAAAAGTATTATAAATACAAGTTGCTGGTAATTAAAAGAAATAATCATGAAAACAATCTTTTAAATAGAAAACAAACTAAAAAATGCCATTTGGACCAATAAAATGATGACACTATGCCATGTAGATACAAATTTCACCATGTCATACGCCACGTGTCTCCATTACAACTAATGAACTCTCCTTTACATATATATATATATATATATATATATATATATATATATATATATATATATATATATATATATATATAGGGGCTGGTTCAGGTGAGAATGCACCTTGGTGAAAGGAATAAGAATGAAATCTAGCTTTTGGATCGGATGCATCGTGCGGCTCAGATTGCATCCTGCACTCAGATTTTGAGATAGTGCATTTTCAAAGGATTTTGATGCATTTCGACATGATGCATTTTCAACCCATTTTGGTGCACCTAATTTTGATGCAATCTTGACCCATAGATCTCACAATCTAAAGCACCAGATTCATTCTTATTTCTTTCATAAGATCGCATTCTTACTTGAACTAATATATATATATATATATATATATATATATATATATATATATATATATATATATATATATATATATATATTCTCACATCTCTATCCTAATAAATAGTAGTCCTTGTGGCTTTTTTAAGATGCAAAGGGGTGTCAAGCAGGGGGATCCACTTTCTCCTCTACTATTCATTCTTGCCAGTGAAGGTCTGAGCTGCATTCTCAACCAATCAATGAATAAAGGTATCATTAATCATTATAACACTGGTAGGGATCTGATTGTCAGCCATTTGGGTTTTGCTGATGATATTATTATCTTCACTAAAGGAGATGGGGTTAATCTTAAGAAATTGGTGAGCCTTTTGAAGACCTACCTAGATGCATCTGGCCAGGTTATAAACTACTCTAAAAGTCGATTTTATTGTGGTAAAAAATGCTCCAGTTCAGATATTAACAAAATGGGGAGAATTCTGGGAATGCAACATGGTCAAATTC